ATCGAATCCAAAGGCTACCCAGCGCAAACGTTTTTTGCGCAAATCCATGTATTTTAGAATGAGTTTAATGAAGAAGACTGTTTTCACTCTACCTAATCATTTGTTCTGAGCCAAGCAGAAAACCGTGATGGTTATTTACAGGGTTTGATTGTCTGTCTGCGCATGACTAACTCAGTTTCAAATCACAACCCACTGGGTGTAACGAAACGACTCCACAAAGGGTGCAGTGTTTTTGGCATGCACACCTCACAGCTTGCATGATTTTCTTCACCGGTAACCAGTACCAGTAACCTTTTCAAACATCACGCTGAAAGGTGATTTCAGAATTTCCAAGTCATCTGTACTCATATTCACTGAGCGCTCTGCGTAGCTAGTGCTAGTAAAACTGGATGCTAACGTACCGTATATTACCGTATATAAGCCCGTCCATGGATAAGCCTGCAGTATAAATCGCAATATCAAATTTGTCCAGTCGTAAGTCCCTATATTAGCCGACCCAGAAAACAGCGAAAAGATAAACAACATTGTTTGTCTACGGTTTTGACATTATCACTGCCCGCTATATCTTTTGTTAAAACGAAATTTGCTCTACTTCTGGTCATTTAAGGCGGCCGTTGTGTATAAGCACTTTTGATTCGCTACCTAAAACAGCGCTAACGCGACGTCACTTGACCCTGCTGGATGCGAATGTGCTTTCTTTTCCTGCGATCTTCCAAAGCCGTGGAAACGTGAAGCGATATGCACATACTGCTGGCTTTACATTGAAAGTCATCACGTTTGTCGAGCAATCCAATAATTTTGTGGTTGCACAACATTTCACCGTGATGAAAATGCAAGTGAGAGAATGGCGAAAGAAAAAGTTTGAATTTTCACTAATGCATGTAGGCAACACGCGGTAGAAAAACCATGTTCTCTGCAATGAAAGCAATGTTCACGCAGTGAGTTGTGGAGTCACGGCACAGCGGGTGGTGCTAAGAAATAGTAGCAGAGGGTTTCAGGGAATTCCTTGATGGATTTCGCATGTGACGTTTTTCAAATCGCTTATGACCTTTATATAAGCCTACTCCCACTACAGAAATGAAAAGTTGTCCAAAAGTTGTCAACTTATATTCGGTAATATATGGTATTCACGGAGGATGATATCTTCAACTGTGCATAAGTGCTGCCTCTATTGGCTGTTGATCAACGGTTTTCACTTGACTTACCATATTCACTGTTGGGTTTTGAAGTACTCGTCGTGTGCTTGAATCACTGTACTCAGTCTTTATAGATTCCCTGTTTCATTTTGAAGAAGACATCGGTTATTCTTATCATCGGATCGCACTCGATATTGATCGCTTGCAACACAGAATCGTATAGTCATTTGGGTTTTTTGACTGGTTATCTACGGGTCCGCGATCCCAATTTGCGTAGGTGAGAGCCACATCTCAATACCCCAGCCCATCTACAGGCTCTGGCGATGTCATGTCAGTGAAACGTCTGTACGGGATTTTGCCGTACTCTTTACATCTGCATTATGATGTTGGAGTAATTTAGAGTGAGTCCTCCCGTTTTTGATTGACTTTCATCTTCATATTCATTTCGACTTCTCAACTTCACCGATTTGTTATGTTATAATGACTTGAGATACGTTAGTGAGATCAACCCCATATTGTAGGGTCGGGTTCACTGATTTTATCAATCTTAATTAGTTAACCTTATATCCGTTCTTTTCACTTTATCTTCTGGCTATTCATTTGATTTATGTTGCTACACATAGACCATCTATTTTGCATTTCTTTCCTGTTCATCATATATAGACAATGTCTACAACCGAATCAGCTACCTATGTCTGCACACCACAGTACCCGGCATCTCAGATGAATTATTCGACTACTAGTGGTCACCATTCAGTGATGCCGGCCTCCTCTTGGCAGCCTTTTCTATCCTGCTTTCTCTAGGCACTTAGTCATCTGTTTCCTTCAGTGAGACTGGGTGGTTACAAAGCAATGCTCCGTCATCTTCTTGTCTGCTAAAGCGGTTGCAAGTTCTTGTACTTGCCAATTAACATGTATCACCCCTTACCGGAATCAGTTTTTCGAGAGACGAGTAGCAGAAAAGCCGTCTCAACACAATACCATCTCAACTTGCATACACGATAACAGTGTTGTGATGAATCTTCAACTCCCTGGGTCTGAATCTGCTGACATTGACTCTCGGGCGATACTGTGTCTATGCTTCAAGGCACTTACGTTGTCAGTGCCATCCTGCACAAACATGCTGGGGACAATCTGCTCGACTGGCTGCCGGTGAACAGCCGCATGAGTGCAGTTCGACTTTGAACCCCTATTGGGGCGATTATGCACTGTCTGAATTTGTGCCTTTTCATCGCTCTTGGTCATGCCTTTACTGACTGCAATTCGTAGGATATGCAAGAGGACTTTTATCACCGCCTTACGTTTGGCGAAACATAATAATTTCGTGATTGGTGCCGGTGACATGAATACTCAAGTGGATCGTCTTTCAAACTCTGAACAACACCCAAGAAGCCGATTCAGGATCATTGCATATCGAACAGACATTGATAATCAATTCCTGCAACTGTGCATCCATCACAACCTTCTTGTTAGCAGCACATGCGTTCACGTCTCATCACCTGGCGCCCACTAAATTCCTCGATGATCTGGATCAGAATTGACAATATAATGCCATCAGCTATAGATGGCGCACCTCAGTACAAAGCTGTCGATCAATTTAGAGCACGTGTTTGGATTCAGACCATACTCTATTGCGGGCACGCCTGCTTCAAAGAAGCGGCTAACTTCTAAACTTTTCACGTGTAACTTGATCATACAGTCTGCAGTTCAACAATACCACAACCTACTATCTCAATAAGTATCAGCGACGAATGAGATTAGTGAACCGAACACTTTGTCTCAAGTGTTCTATGCTGTACACCCAGCATGCGGCGTCAACTGTGTATGAATCTCTGAGGCATCAATCTGTTTGATCGAAGCATGTAAACATGTGCCAATGGGTACTGGGCTCTAGCCTGTCCGTAACTTCCTGAAATGACGATTGACAATATTCGAATTGCATTGCATTACATTGCTTTCAGACCATTACCATCATATGGAGGCTAAAAATAAAGATTGACCCAGTTAGTTCAAAACGAATAGGTCTATGTCATTTATTGTTGTTGTTTCCGTCAATACTCACCACTCGTCGTTGCTTCCCACACGAATGCTCTCTGTGTTCGTTAGCATAATACTTTATCAACCATGTGTAACGTGCCCAACTCTTGATGGGTGCATGCTAGGCAACAGCTGTTGTTTTCTCGTTGTTCGTCTCTTTAATATCCCATTCGCATATGGCCACTTGTTTGACGATGAAATTCATGAGGCAGTTGCTAAATCTCTTCACCTCCATTGGCCACATGTTGTGCCATCTTGGTAAGCTCTATCGCGCAGATGTTTTTCGCCGAAGCTGTCACTTGCAAGTCGAAGCTATCAACTGCTGGTGCGAAGCTACCAGTCTTCATATGTCTTGTTTGCACTTTGAGCGCGGAGGCGGCGCAAGATAAATCGCACCCGTCGTTTCTCTGCCGAGGCAGATATCTTACGGCTACTCGTTGTTATAGCGACTTCAACTTAAACAATAGATGTTGCCATAGCTTTAACTATTTTCGGCCTCATTATGGTCCATTCAACGTATTATTGTTTCATTTAGCCTTAATTCATCCTTAATCGTTTACTCACTGTGAACTGAAGCTTTCTCGCAAACAATGTCCTGACCCCTTCCGCCACTGTTTTCTTACGCTGTGCTTCCCTTCTGTGATGGCATATGGCTAGAGCATATTCTCGATCATGTTGGGCATGCCATCAACTGATTGGTACTTGTTCTCTGACCCACACTGGGCAACTGCGCGGACTGCTTTAGCTCTTCGCCTGCTCTCAGTTCAGCTGCTAACCATCTGTGACCTGAGTGTTCAACTTGGACGAGTCCAGTTATCACAACACACTTAGTCGTAGTGATTATGAGCAAGGTTTGAGGAAAGTGCTTAATGGGAAGACAATAGTGCAGTTTCGTTACAACTAATACCAACCGATTTGCTCATTGGAGTTGACGGGTAGAATTCATGGACATACTGTAGGTACGCCACCAGTTTCGCAACTGTGACATTTCAGAAATGGTTTCCAACTACGGGTGTGATACTTTCCGCGAATCCTATCCAGGACGCGCCAATCTGACAAAGTCTTACGGTCAGTTTTTCTTACGCTTCTCTCACCTTGTTACCCCACGGTGCACCTGATTAGGCAAAACACTGACCTGGTTAGTTGATGAGGTAGCAAGTTGGAGCAGGATAAGTAGCTTATAAACCGGATAGCGAGGAAGAATAGGCATCCGTAGTACACCGCACAAAATACCAGCAGTTCTGTGCCACCTGACCACTACCAGTCACACGTGGGTGGTATATAGGCTGCCGCCACTTCTATCTACGCGAATTCGAGCTGCTGACCACCTATAAACGCGTAATCTTCTCAGCCATCAGCTGAAACAAACTGAACAGGGCCTTTCGGGTTCCCTATTGGCCCTCGATCACCCTATCCAAAATAACCTACTATTTTCCAATGAGGTTGTCACTTTCGCTCCCTTTCTTCTGCTGATCAGTCTCGAATTCGAACGAACTTAGAACTCTTTATTTCAACCCCCTCCCCATTATTATACTCTGGTTATTCGTTTGTTCTACCTTTCTCCTCGTCCTTCCTCACTATTGTTATTTTATGTTGCCATGATAACGCGTGTCTGTAGTCGTTTAACTGAAGTACATAGCACTGCGGATTCATTGGGACGGACTCCCTAGCCACTCCTATTTTCCCCATACTCTTTTGTCCATAACCGAACTTGCATCTCCACCTTTGAAATTCATCGAGGTCCCTACTTTTGTACGCACTTCTTCATAAATGTGTTTCTTCTGTCACTATCTCAGCATTCGTCTTCGCATGTCATCTTTGTTCCAGTCACTTACGTTGGAGGAGCCACATTCCTGCTGTTCGCTGTGTTCACATTCCTTGGCAATCCGGATTCCAACTCCTGATGCCGTGTCTGGAGCCTCTGCAACCGCCATCACTTTAAAGGACACTACACTCTGTCTCTGTCCCGCTCGATCTTACTTCTACATGTATAGCATGTGTACACATCCATCAGATTGACGATTACGCCATCTGCTCCCTCTCAGGCCGTACGGATTTTGTGATCTGGTGCTTCCCCGAATGTCCCATTCCAATCGACTTATTCTGTGATACATAAATGTCTTGAGAAATCGGTGTCTTCCTTCTTCGTAACAGAGTCTTTCTTGCCGTTTCGCTTCACTTACGCACGCGCACGCTGTAGTCATCTGTCCGCATAGTGACCACCATTGTGCCCTTCGTGTCAGCCCAAACTCCACCTTGACATCAATTCCTGTTTTCGTTCCTGTTTTCCGCTTGCTCTCAAGTCGCACTATGTTGAATGTGACTTTCAACATGTCGTTCATGTAACAGTGGATAACTTTCCAACACGTCCTATCGTTGATGAAGAATGAGAATTACTTTCTACGTCAACTTTTTGATAGTGGCCTTCAACGAAAAGATTGCACGCATTTAACCCCTATGCTCCTATGAGTTTCTCAGTCATCAACGTCGCACGTCTTATGAAGACTCTTGAGCGACTTCACTCCAGCTAGTCCCTCTTCCCTTGATGACACTTTTGTGTATTCCCTTTACTTTACTTCGGCCAGTGTTGTGATCTGCTCATTTCTCATTTATGTCTCAGTAAAACTTCCACTAGCCGCACTTTTTCACCCACTTTCGGTGGTGCCCAGCTGTTCTCAGTGGGGATCAAGCTATAGCCCCTATCAGATTAAAAGTCGCGAATTAATTATGCGAGAGCAGGTAATCCCTGTGCCGAAAACAGCGCAATCATGCCTGCTCGCCGGTATGGACGTCATCATAGGTTTCTTCACTCAGTTTCATGCTTTGACTTTAGCTATAGACCTTAGATTTTACGCCTTCCCACTGGAACACTGCATTTACGACCGAAATGTCAGCTGATGTCTTGTGTGCCGTAGACTTTCCACGAATCTACCTTTCCTTGCCTATCGGTCATAACATTAATCTGTAGCCTCCGTTGATCTTCGTCTCATTTACTCTTCATCACCATTTGCCTCACTTGATGAGTACATCTTGGTCTTCAACTGCCTCACCCTACAACAAATATCGCTTGTAGTAACTGATGATCATAAGTCTTGTTAAGGATGTTGGGTGCGGTATTGTCTGAATATGCTTTACCTTAATGTTCACGAGTCCCACGGATGTTGGAATGCGGTATTGACTTTCGTACTTTGCCTTAAATGTTATACGTTGTCTTCTGATTGTGCATCGATCCAGACAAGTGAATTAGACATTCCCCTCCAGTCTTCTATCTTCATGATCTGTAAGACCACCTGAGTTGCGCCTGTCTTTACATACTCCACTTAAGTCTGAATGTCGCCTGCCATCACATGCGTACTGCTGATTCCCTATGCCTTTGTCACATACGCGAGAGACCATGCTTTCTGGTCTCCACTTTGGTGTTGCTATTGGTGGGACACCATGGAATTAAGGCGCCGTCCGCCGCTCGGCATTGAGCGCACACACTTATCGCAAACTTTCATCGATATGGCGATTCGTAGCACTTAATGCCATCTTCGGATATTCGCATCGCCTACATTAATTAATGTGGTTCGCGATCAGCACCAGTGGTGTGTTTACTGTTGTCTAATAACTAGACCGCTTGTTTGGGGCGCATGCGTGTCGTTGAATTATCCACGAGGTGTGGTTGACGGTTACTCAGACCGGCCCGTAGCCTAGGGGTAACAAGCTTGTCTTGTAATCTTGCGTCGCGCGAGGTCGAGGCTGTGTAAGGGCAGGGCGACCCTAGCAGTATCCTTAGTCCATATGCGACCGATGGCGGTTGTGCGGTAGCGATGCGTCGATACTGCCTACTGCTTATGCCTACTTTTATCCAGGCAGCGGAAAGCTGTTTCGCCGATGTTAGCCCATCTGCGCACGGCTCCCAACATTTCTGGCAAACGATAACTGCCTTACTGACGATTGATTGCCTAGAGGATTTAGGTTTTTGCCCAACTGCCGTTCCAATTATTTTTACTTCTCATTACTGCGGTCGTTCCTTGTTTTGTTACGTAGCACCTGTGTAAACACTGATGTGCTCTATTGTTGCTGATGCTGATAACATTCACCTATGGTTGCTATCTTTCTCCGTTCATTGGGTTGTGTACCTTTTTGCCGAGTCATGTACATGGCCTGACTGTAAGCAAGCCTCCAGCTCAGCGATCAACTTTTAACAGACACGTGTGCATCGTACGCACACTGCGTCCAGGTGGCGCCTGGAATATCATCCGCAGTGGTTGCACCGTGAGTCCATACATCGTTTTAAAATAGTCAACGAATTCCTTATCTTGGTGGCGTTCAGCGTGGGGTTTTTATCTGCTCTGCCTTCTGTGTCCAACAAACCTACTTGATGAGACGGAGCTCTCGAATCAATCACTGACGCATGTCGCGAAACTTACCGTCCCAATCGGAGTCGGCAGGATCGTCCACAGGTACAGCGAATGCTGCGTCCTTCTCCGATACAAATGCGCAAACAGTCGCACTGTTGTCAACGAACCAATCAGGCCGCTTACAGCATGCGCTCCGGACCGTTTTCTCGGCCATAGCTATCACCTCTTCATGGATGTCGTGCCACAGCTCTCTGACCGATGCGATGAACTCAAAACCGCATAGATAGGTAGCTATCGTCTTCACCAGCTCTATTATCTTCTCAACAGTAACTAGGGAAAGAACATTAAATTTCCGCCGATTTACGACAGGTGAGCGATAAACAGAATTACGAAAATATATATACAATTTGTGATCAGTTCAACACTCAGCTCGATGCAGTACATGCGTCATGCGCGATTCACGCATGTCACACTGGCGTACGATGATTCAGTCGAGAACGTGAGCGTGACCACTCCGTGTGTGCTGCCAAGTTGCAATATCACTTGTACCCAGCGCAAATCTGGTGTTCGTGATCACCAGGCATTGAGAGCAGTCGGTCATCGCTCCCATTGGCTCTGCCAATCTCATGCAGCCCGATTACGTCTGTCCACATCGCGGCATCACGGCCGACGCGCAGGTTGAAATCACCCAAAAGGAACAGTCGGTCACTTCTCGACCCGGCTGTCGTTCGCATAGGCTTTTTTCCCAAGGTTCGGCGAAGCCTCTTGGGAGCAAATGGGTTCGGAGCTAATTGTTGAAAATGGTCTAGAGGTGAGGGGTTTGGGAACACTTGAGTAATTTGTAGCAGTGACAATGTTTTCAGAAGTCACTTTTTGATTTGGCTTGCATTGCAATTCGGTGGAGAGGCCTGTGTCCTACACACTGTTATACATGTTCCCAATGAGACCATTTTGGTGCTCAGCATTTGTCGGCCTCTCATACCTCTGGGACAGGGCAGTTACAGTCTTGATTAGTGGGACGGTATTACACTACAAGCGGAACCAAAATTAGTCTGGTTTGCTGCCGAGCGGCCCAAACTCGTTTGGATTGGTGTTCCCGCATTTGGCATGGAAACAGATGGAGCAGTCAACGAGTGCTAGTTTGACTAATATTTGGTGCTAATCACAGTCGACAGATCTTTAACACCTTCGTCCATTGACTGAATCAAGCTGGTCCTCAAAAGTCAACTTTAAGGCTCACATATCTTGCGAAACGCCAGCGTTGCAGGCTAACGGAACCAAATGACCTAAACAGTGCGTAGTCATGTATATATACTTCCCTGTCCATGATATCCTGAGACACGTATCGACGATTATTTCGGAAACCTGTGCTTTTGTGAAACGGTGCATAAACAATACAGAATATATATCGTATACCCGGAAATAATGACAGCAATACGAATTCCTAACCGAACGAGAATAAACCATTAATTAGACAACCACTACCGCTGAGGATTCGCAATTAGATGTTTATTTTCATTTTTCATAATTCGATAGAGTTGTACAGAAATCTTTCTACTTGCTCTTCAATACACTCAGTCTCAGGCAACCACTCTTCAGTGCATGCAAGTATGTCGAGATAAGACCCGTTTCCAAACAGACCTAATACATGTATCTTATTCCTTGGCCTACGCAAGTTGCTGGACACTAACTGAAGGAACTCGATATAGCCATCTCTAGGTCGTGCGATGCCAGAACGGGCACCGGTGGGGCAGAAGCTGACCGCTGGCTAAAAACCCTGCTCACCGGCGATTCGCCTGCTTCTGAGATCCCTTATGGCCTCCTATAAGTTCAACCTATCCGCAAGCGAAAGTTCAAGCTGAACGCTAACATTAGTTCATGTTTATTTGAAAGAAAATCGCGACAACGCGCGTTTTTTTGCAAAGTAGAGAAGGTCACACGAAGTAGGCTCGGTCAAGAGTTTGGCGCAGCAACTGGGACAACTCCGGTCTAGTCAGCTTGCCGGCAACAATGCAGGGATGACCAGATGGAAGAAACTTTGTTTTGCACATATTAAACCACAGCAGGTCGTCCAATATGCGTTCAGCATGAAAGACGACTAGGGATTCCAACGCGTTACGGAATATAACGGTGCTACCCATGTATGCATCCACGCAACCGGATGTATTTACCCTACGAGTTTTTGAATGCACAATGACAGCAGTCGTTTTTGCCGCTTCCGATGAGTGTGTCCACTTTCTCAGATGACGCTGAAACAACTGCAGTGCACATTTACTGCTCTAGTTTCTTCACCTCAACATTCTTCGAGCTTTCAAGTTTGACGCAGAGATTGTGAGTAGCTCTAATCTGCCTTTTCTTCTGTCAACCGATGTAGGGGCAGTTGACTCAACATCACTTTTAGCACCATCATAAACAGCGTCGGAACCCGCCTAATCGGTGTCAGCCGCGAATGCCGACACTACAGACGACTAGAAATGTTGCATGGCGTTGTAGCTTCCACACAACTGACAGTCGGGTCAGCACGTGATGACGGCATCTGTCGCCTTAGAATCGGTGCTGAGATAACCTTAGCTCCGGTGTTGGCAGAGGGTTTATAAGGTTTCCTAGCCCTTATTCCTCACCGTTTAGCAACTTCAGCGACTCGTAATCCAACAACGCTATAAGCAGAACCATAAACACGACCTGCCGTAGCTTCATCAATCCAATTCGTCTTAACCGGTGCTTTTGACACGAGAGCAGGCACCACTGGTTGCACTACAGAGCTGTTCTGCAAGTGTTACTTCAGCAGACCGGCATTACTGCAAGCCGGAGGTACCTTTATGAGCAAGCTTATTTTGCAATTAATAGTGGTGAACACAATATTGAGCGCTGTGAATAAATGCTCCATACTTTGGAGTCAGAGATAATAAACTGTGACGTCTCTACTTCAAAAGCCTAGATTATTTGTATGCATACACAACAGACGAAACTAAAAGGCAAACTGTCGCTGCTATGCAGCATTATGTACTGCTCAGCAGTCAGGCTGGCGCTCGCAGTCGTCGTAGTAGATGCTGTTCGCTCACAAATGTTCCGTGCAGGCGAAGCCTCCAAATTGGACCGTTACGGTTGTCGCTGGGATATTTGTTTAACACTACCCACTGCGGATTCTTTATTTCTATGACATATTCTCTAATTACGCAAAGCAATGGCAAGCATTATTTTTATTATGTTGATCGTTGTGTTCAGCCCCATGAATTTATTTGGGTGCTACCTCTTCCGAGGCGTCAGCGCAGAATCATCAATCGTG